AAAAAGATCTCAAGACTTGGGTTTACATCTTCCAGAAATATCACGGGATGCTTTGCGCAAAAACACTCAGAGCTGAAAAAATTTATATATTATTCGAAAAAATAGGTCATGATAAAATCAAATACATCAAATAATATAGTGCCAATTCCATTTCAAAACTTACTAATGACCAAATTCAAGAGATTATAGATTATGGAATATCTTTGGAAAAAATACCTCTGGTAACGGATCATATGACTGAGATTTCCAAGATATGTCCCGAAAAAATTTTACCTAAGAATATTTCACCGAAAACAGAGGTAAGTATACCTACTGAATCGATTCTTTTAGACCCAAAGGGTCATTGTTCTGCAATAGATTCATCCCAAGAAAATGATAAAGATTCGAAATTACCAGAAGTTGAGGTAAATACATCTACTGATTCTATTTTTACTGATTCAGAAAATTTACCAAATACCGAAGCAAGCGTACCATCCTCATCTCATGTAAATATATCTAACAAATGCCGACCTCCTATCTCTATTTTACCCGAGGATCCAGAAGAGAAGCGAAAATCCGTTATTAATAAAGTGCTAGAGCAGTTCCCTTATTTATCTTCGAAGTATAGCAATAAAGATCATAAAAAAGAAAATATAAGATTTATTGTAGAGGGTGAATGTGATAGTGAGGACTATGTCAATACAAAAAACCTATCGTCTCAAATGCTGGGAGGCTTATCAAAATTCAATCCAAATAGTAACTGTAAAGGCATAAGATGTGCCTTGGCACTAGCTTCGCTATTGAACCAGCATAAATCATTTTCTGCGATCACATGGGGCACATTATAACGTGACATGACCTACTTCCAGAAATTATATTTTTACTATTTTTACTTTTTTTACTTTATGCTTTCGAACAGGGCGTTTCTTTACTGCATGTATAACTTCTATTCCCGAACTAGATGTGGAAGAATTACTTGAATCGCTGTCCAAACTATCTGAATTGAAAGAAGTGTCCGATTCCCTGGAATAATTGACCCATTTTTCTTGCTAGCTCCGCTATTTTTGGAAACATCATATAATCTTCTGGATACTGGAGGAGGTATGTTGTGAAATATTTTGTGTGACGTCCCTTTCGGTACTTATTATTGCAAAGTAATGATCCTTCGGATCTATCTTCAATATCTGAAAGAATTTTTTAATCATGTTTGTGATCTCATCTATTGCCTAGGCGGGTCATTTTTAGCGGGGTTGGCGTTATTATTATTGTCTCCAATTAATGAGATACTCATACCATCTATTACAATTTTAGCATGACGGACATAGGTTTTGGGAGAACGTTCAAAGCTTATTTTTGCTTCACACATTCATAACCATTCTTCCAGATCGAATG